GTTATAACAATAACACTAGATATTAACATTAATTCAATAGAAGAAAAAGATTTCTACTCAATTTATCTATTCATATTACAATGACGTGAAGTAATTCATCGGTAATTTATCTTATCAACTTCGCCTATACCTCTTCTACGGTTATTGCCAGTCCCAAGCCCGGATAAAAGAGGAGAGTTGGGCATGGGGTCAGCAACCCCATCCTGAGATATCCGTCTATCAACCAAAGGACGTGTTTGTTGTGCAACAGTTCGTTCCACTTTATGGCAGGTAAGAGTAGAGGATACTCGAAGGTTACTAGTTTTCGATCATAGGTGTCTTCGAAACATTGCTCGTATATCATGGGACCATCGAGTAAGTGATACAGTTGTTAGGAAACGGGTACTAGGTAAGGATGGCAAATCGATTGATGAAGTGATGAAACTTCATCAGTTGAGATGGCTGGGACACGTGTTACGTATGCCCAACCACCGACTGCCTCGATGTGTTATGTTCTTTTGTATAGGAGTAGGTTGGAAGAAAGCTAGGGGCGACCAGATCAAAACATGACAAAAGTCCATGAAGTCACTGACAAGTGGTCTGAGTCATGTTGGTAGGTGTAGACTACCTGGTTGGGGACCGCGAGATGATAGCAACCGATGGTTAGAGACCCTGAATCACATGGCTCAAAATCGTTTGCAATGACACAGGTGCATACACTCTTTGTGTTCTCCCAAATTCTAATATCCTGATTCCTCCTTGTCTCTTTTTTCTCTTCACAAATTCATTTCACTGGATTATACTCCTTGAATAACATCTTCAAACCCTAATCTTTTCGATCACTGCTTATACTCTTACTACCTCTACCACTATGGGATTTGAATTGACAACTGCATCTCTGTGCTAATGTCGTATGGCAACTCGAACTCCTGTACGTACGTACGTACGAAGTTCTACGTTGTTACTGACTGACTGACTCCCGTAGAAAACAACATTGCAAAAAAAAAACGCTAACTAAAATAAACTTTACCCATACATCTAGTAACTAATAATTTATTTATGACTAAATCAATTGATTATAACCGAAAGTAATTAGAAATTAAATTAATTCATTTGATCTATAAAGTACAATATTGTTAATAGATTCATTCATTATAGTCTATTAACAAATGACATTTCAATATCACTAACAGTACATAAACTGATTTTGATAATCATTTTAACTATTACGAGAAGAAAAAAACCCAATAATCTTAACTGAAATGACAATGAATAATAAACAATTGTATGATGATAATGAACTTTAATATATAAAGTTAGCAAAATAAACAAAATAGATTATGTAGGTTATAAGTTGTATAATATATGCACATTAAAGATTGGCTACAAAATAGAACAATAATTTTGAAACAAATATTTATAGGAGATATGTGTCCCCAAATGCGGCCAAGCGTAGAGATAGTCAGCTCTCCCTGTGCAAATGCTCTCACATGGCCACACGTGTACAGCCAATGTCAGGGAAGTCTTAATCATTGCCTTCTCGCAGCAGATGGTGTTGTTTACGAAATTGAGAGGACGAGTAGAGAATGTCCAGCACTTTAACCCGGTTGGTGAACACAGAGAATTCACCTAGGGGAGTTGGAAAACCATGATTCTCCAAACCAATGGTACACATGCGCTCCAGGATCCTGAAGGGATAAATGGCGTATGAACCAATTACTGGTCACTGAATACCATCGGACTGCATTTCCTAAAGTTACTCCGCTACCTTGTGGATTAGACTTTTATGTCGATGGCTCCGGGTGTGGCACCCTATGAAAACTACGTGCTTCAGTCTGGGCACTCGGGCAGTACCACGGCACACACACAAATCAAGTAACTTGTGTGGTGCATATATATTCACTGCCACTTTTTACCAATATTTATGTGTTCAAATAAATAAATAAATTGTTTGGTTGTATAAATCCCTTGACTTCCATCTAATTATAACCTTTGGCTTTCAAAAAATCAACGATTAGAAATATAAACTATTGAATGATAACTCAGGATTTTTAATGTTAAGAACTTGCCGTGATCTAAAGGCTATGGGTTCATCTCCACGTGGTGTCAGGAACGATCGCTACTTAAGATCCTCATACTAAAATGAAACAGCCATCTAGTACTTCCTGATTTCTAATGGTTGTCCAGTTAAATTCAATGTATGATGAAGAAAATCAAAACTTTCCTTTACAGTTCAATCCATGTATTTAATATTTACTGGTATTTGATATTCTTACTAGCGTTTGGAGATTTCCGTTCAGATATTGATCACTCTTGTATTACATAACTAAGTATCCGATTATTCCTAACACGTAAAACGAGAATTTATCTGGTGGCGTTTCTCACCCATATAATAGGAACAATAATCACTCGTTTGTTTTATTACTAGTGGCAAACAGGATATCATTCAGCCACTGTGTCAGTACATATTGTCCCACACTTTCCAAACTTACGGTAATCCGTTGTGCGAAAAATCGATATAATTAGACGTAATGCAACCTTGGTGGTTAATTTGTGTGATTAGATATAGTTCCTATAGTCATCAAAATGATCTGCGCTAAATAATTTCGGATTATAAGACATTCAACTTAAATAGTTAATGTGTTTGTCTATACACGTACATTTAACTGCTGGGATCCATCATTTTAACATAAATAAACATTGCAGGTAAACTGTAATCTATACACTTGTGGCCAATAATTATTCATATTTGATATACCATCATTAAAACAAACCATGGAATTCAGTAAACACGATACATACAATACAAAAACTCTACTCATTAAATCAAAGCACGTGTGTTCAGTATTATTATTTCAAAATATTAGTTATATTTAAATCATATTTTATCGCCATAAACACAAAGTATATTTCTTATTAAGATTGTGATCCCATCAATTCTTGACCACCATTGAAAACCTGGAAACACTAGGTAGCCGTTTCGTCTTAGTATGGGACTCCTTGAAAATGTGCACGCATGGTCTCACATGCGGGACTTTGACCCAGTACCTTCGGTCTCTCATGAACACTGAAATTCTAGACCACTAAGCCGGTCATCTGTGTTATTGTCTAATTTCAACCGAGACAGTCGTGCAATATTGTGGATAGGTTGAAGTTAGACAATTACACCGTTGAATACCTGCTGAAAACAGTTTTCGTTCGTAGGTCACACATTGGGGATAATCCTATTTCTTAAAGTGGCCTTAATGGTAACAAATAATTATTGGTTGGACAGGCTGTTAAGAACATAAGTCGGAATTAATCACAATGATGTATATACATTCACTCATTAGCTTACTTGAAATACTACAGATAATGCCTTAATGTACCCCCCCCCCTTCATACCTTAAACCAAGACTTTTCACTGAACAATTTCAATTAATAATATTTTTATGATGATTCTGTTGAGTAGTACTGGATAACTCTCGATGAAATACACAAATAGTCAATAACCTCAGCTATATATTCTTTCAAACAATTATCATTGTACAAAATAGGCTATTGATATAGTTATGTTCAGTTGGAAAAATCTTACTATTCAGTAAAACAAAAACTAAAAAAAGAAAGAAATTCAAACAAATTAAATGTATATAAGTGATTATGTAATATAATGGGAAAAATATTTCGGAATTATTTCGTTTTTGTATTGGTTGTTTGAATCTCCCCATTGATGTTTAAGACAGAAATGGATCAGTCACTTATTGGCATATGTGCATCTTGTGCACAAGCATTATGAGAAAAGATGGATGGTGGCTAGCAGTGGAATACAAAACACACGTTTCGTCCTATTTGAAACTCGTCAGCAAGACGTACTTGTATACCAGAGTTGATGTGGCTATCTGGATTCATTTTAATTTACATGATTATTTGAACACATAAATATTGGTACAAAGGGGCACCGAAAACATATGCGCTACACAAGTTACCTGATTTGTATTTGGGCTGTGATACTGCCTAAGTGCCCAGGCCGAAACAGGTGGTTTTCATAGGGGGTCACACCCGGAGCCATCGACCTGAAGGTCTAATCCATAAGGTAGCGGACTAACGTTAGGAAATGCAGTCCGATGGTAGCCATTGACCAATAACTGGTTCATATGCCATTTATTGCTTCAGGATCCTGATGTTCATGTGTATTATTGGTTTGGAGAATCATGGTTTTCCAACTCTCCTAGGTGAATTCTCCGTGTCGACCAACATTAACTACTCATTCTCCCAATTTCACAAACAACACCCCGCCGCGAGAAGGCAACGAGCAGAACTTCCCTGGCAGTGGCTGTATACACAAGTTTATGTGAGAACATTTCGAGACGGGGAGCTAACTCACCCCACTCTCAGCTGTAACCAAAGAATTTAGAGGCTGAACTCACTAACCAAATAGATAACGTGATAACGTTTGAAGTGAATGATACTGAGTACAAGTCCGTAAGAGAAAATAAACTCAGATACAAATACACTTAATTAACGATTTTCAAATAGGACAAAACACTCATCTTAGATTCCATTGCTAGTCGTTATCCAATTTATGTATTATTTTCATCTTTAGTATTTATATTAGAAACAAATTTCTTTCATTAAAATAATATAATATACATCGTATTTACAAATATAAAACAAAAGAAAAAAAGAGCGAAATGAAAAAACAGGTGGAAGTGGTAGTAATGTGGTGCGTGCTACTTATATTGATATAAGTAGTATATAACGCCAGTCAGGAATGTAATGTCTGGCAGCAGAAAATGAGGGAAGATCAAGAAAGCAAGAGTGGGAATAGAAAGCAATTAGTATTTAAAAAATGCAAAAACAATAAAGTCCAAGACAAATATTGAACATTTTTGCAAGTTAAGTATTATAGTATGGTTTTTCTATTTAACTAAGTAACTCAGTAATTTTTTGTGCTAAATAAAAATTCGGTTGTCCTTACCTGTGTTCTCCTTCACTACAATGGTAATAATAGTGGTGGTGGTGGGGAGGAGATGGTGAAATCATTAAAAAGTTAGATAATTATTCATTTTCTCTTCAATTGAATGTATATCTAATAAACTTTTTAATTGTTTCATTTTATTTCTTAAATATTTCAATATTTCATTATTATTATTATTATTATTGTCATCATCGTCAATTATATAATGAATAGATTTATTTAATTGTGGATAATTAGATAATTGTATTAGACCTGGTGATTCAATTAAATATTGATATAAATGTTGTGCTATTTTATAAATTTGATGATTTTTTTTCATTTTATCTAATTGTAATTGAGTATTCGAATTAGTATTATTAGTTATATTCAGATGATTATTGTTGTTACTATGATCATTGAGGATGTCATTGGAATATGGAAGTTGTTGTCTGGTAAAAGAAAATATAAAAATTAAGATTATTATTAAATTATATAATTAAATTCTGAAAGGGATCTGTATAACATATATCTGAATTGAAAGTTATTAAGCAATCCAAATATCGTGATACAATGGAGAGTGAGGAGAGTAGGCTTTCACTCTTCAAATGCTCTCTCACATAACTACGCGTATACAACTACTGATAGAGAAGTACTACTCAATGCCTTCTCGCAGCAAGCGGGGTTGTTTACGAAATTCAGAGGATGAAAAGCGAATATACGATACCTTAACCGGCTTGGCCGCCACGGCGGACCGATGGTTAAAATACCATGATTTCGAACCAATGGTGCAAATGAGCTCTAGGATTTTAACGGCTCAAGTAGCGTGTGAAATTATTCTCATTCACCAGCTACCATGAGACTGAATCTTCTTTCTTGTGAATTAGACCTCTGAGACAAAAGATAGGAGTGTTCCTCTAAGAAAACCACCTTCAATTTGAGCAACCGGGCACTATCCTAGTCCATAAAAATCCGAAGATTTTTGAAGCGTATATATATATATATATATATTGTGCCCCTTGGTATCAACGTTTATGTGATTAAATAAGGCCACTATAGTTATGAACACATAATTAATTGGATTCCTGATATTTCACAAAGACATTTGTTTTGAGAAAGTCTAAAGGAGGCATGTTGGTAGTGTTTTTTACTTCTATAAACAATGAAGATAGACATATAGATAGAACAAGGATATGGAATAGAATTTTAGATGGAACTTGGGAAGAAATTTAAGGAAATTCATGAAATGGTAGGAGCTATTTACGATAAAGCATATTGTTTGAAGTAATTCCATCGTCTCAGTTAAGCTCGCTAATATTGAAAGCAAAAGTGGAAAGTCAAGGTGACTGAAAAAAAATGCCTGAAGAGCTTAAACTTCTGAGAACTTGCAGAGATTTCTTGAACAACGGAAACGGGTTTAGAACAAATGTGTTGCAATAAATTAAGGGTATTTTGAAGTATCCTGAAGTTGATAAGTTTTCAGTGAACTCCTAAGTAAACCATAACAAAACTAGTTACTAGTAAGGAAGCAGTTTATTATTATCATTATTAAACATCACAGTTTATGATGAACAGTTCTTTAAGCATCTGTTGTCGAATACCACACCTGATATCTCTACTCTTCTCTTATGAATTTTCGAATAGTGAATAAGAATTTCAATTTCATAAAATTTCAGACATTGTTTAGCAAAAGTGGAACTGTAGATTAGTTGGGTTAAAAATCACCTGGCTTTTAATCTTCAAGTTCGGAAGTTAAAGCTGTGCCTCAACTGATGTTCTATAAAAGTCAAACACATCAATTGGTTTTAGATTTTTATCAAAGGTGTCTTTGATGCATTTGTTGCATAGCGTAGAACGACCAATTAAGCAGTGCTGAGATTAGATATAAGGTACTAAGCAAAGACGATATGTTGTATCTAGAAGGTTGTTCTTGATATACCGCGTATAACGTAAGCATTCGACGCCAGAACCCTTCCAAGTAGCAAAGAGAAGACAGAAGAGTAACAAAAGAATATTATTCCCAGACAGTGTCAATTATAGTACGAAATTATAGTTTTTAGTAAGAACAAAACCATCATTACAGTCCTACAATCTGCATACAGGGGGTTATTAGTATTGTTCAATCGGGAAGCTAAACGTAGGGATTCTAGAATATTCTTCCAAAAGGTGATTGGATAGAATATCTTCGGCTCCTTCTGAGTCTCTTACAGCTTCCTCGAGTTCACCCGTGGCCCGTTGTCACACGATATATCAATTGGTGAGGTTGTGAACCTTTATTTACTGGAATTGTTGGAACACATGTTATGTATGTTCACTATCCCCCACCTCAATTAACGGTGTTGGCTCACGTAGAAATAGATTGGAAAAAGCTAAGGATGACCAAATGAAGAAATGCCATCATTCCATGAAGACATTCACCGTTGGAGTGAACTATGTTGATAGACATGAACTACCTGGTTGAGGTCTGCAGTATAACCATGATCACTGGTTGTAGACATTGAGTTACATGACTTAGAACCGGTCGCAATAGCACAGATGCATTTACCCTTTATCATCGTCTAGATCTTCATTTCTGGTATTATACTTCATACACAGCTTTTCATATTTTCATCTCCAACCATGTTATCAACATCTGATCTTCTCTTTATCTTTTCTACTCCTATACTATTCACCTAATTTGCTTCATCACGCCGTGGTAATGCAGAATGATAAGTTGGCCTAGGGCAAATTTATCCCAGGCTTTATGTTGATTCTAATACACAATATACATAATTCAGTTTGGAAAGTTAGGTATAGTGGAGTTGCTAATCTTTATAAACAGTCAGGCTAAAACTCAAGTGGATTAGCTTACATTTGCAAAAGTTATATTAAATAATAAAGAAAAGAGTTTACCTAGAAGTGATAATTTCCAAAACCATTCCATAACAGAAACCGAATTCTGAAGCCAACTTTACACCATGTACTATACCAAGTTGACGAGCCTTTGTAGCATTACTAATATCAAAAACTGATTGATTAGTATTGTTTGAATTAAATGCCGGTGAGAATTCAGTATCATATGCTTCATTAAAAATATGTTCTTCACCGCATGCGATTCGGTTGAGAAAATCCTCTTGATCTGAAGAATTTTCACGTAACTAAATGCCCCCAAAAAAATAAATTAGGATACAAATGACTAAAACATAATTTGAGTAGAAGGGTTTCACTCATCACAAGTCATGTGCAAAAAAATAAAACAAACTATGCATTTACGCTGAAAAACTATGTGACTTGTTAAGCATGCTTTTCAAGATGTTATTTGCAGTGTTACGATAATCAGGGAAACTATCTTTTAAGTACAACCCCGTAAAGTCGACTTCAAGTTACATATTTTGTACGATGATTGGTGATAATCTCTAATTATTTAGACTAAATTAATGTGAGTTTGAATTCACAGCTCAATAGCTACAAACCAAGTTCCTAAATCATCAAAGTACTTACTCTGCTTCCATTCAAAATAAACGAGAATAAATTTAGGCTTATTTACAGATAGGGGACTAAACCTTTGCATTGGTTAAATGCAAAATAAACTGATCAGTGATAAAAGAATTGGAGATTACTAACTAACTAAGTACTGAATTATCAAAAGGGGGTTTTGTGAAGATTTTAGAAATTTCGCTGGTTGAAATCATGAGTCAATTGAAGCCAGACCACCATGGGAAACCTGAAAGCACTGGACAGCCGTTTAGTCCTAGTATAAGACTCTTCAGCAGTGCGTATCCACGATCCCGCAAGATTCGAACCCAGGACCTGTCAGTCTCGCGCCAGGCGCCTAACCAACTAGACCACTGAGCCGGCATCTAACGGTGTTAATGTCTAACTTCAACCAATCCATGTAGTTGCGCCACCGTACACCATTGTCTTTAGTGAGTTGATATCTCACAATAGACCTAATTGAACTCCACTGGTAGCGGCTTCTCACTAGAACTCCAGGAGTATCGCTTGAAGTCAGTAATTAGTGAGCAGATGATTATTATCAGAAGGGATTTTGTGATTTTAGAAATTTCACTGGTTGAAATCATGATTCAATTGGAGCTAGACCACGATGGTAAACCTGGAAGCACTGGGTGATCGTTTCGTCCTACTGTGGGACTTCTCAGCAGTGCGCATCCACGATCCCGACTCGTCATATTCGAACTCAGGACCTATCGGACTCGCGAGCGAACGCTTAACCTCTAGACTACTGAGCCGGCATCCAACGGTGTCAATGTCTAACTTCAACTAATCCACGAAAATGAGCGACACATCCATCGTCCAGTGATTCCAGGTTTCCCATCGTGGTCCAGCTTCAATTGACTCATGATCTCAACTATTGAAATTACTATAATATCTATAAAAACCCCTTCTAATTTTTCTGTTTATTTAGTGAGTGTTGCATATTAGAGCATAATTTCCACTGGGAATTATAATGCAATCAACTTAGGCTATCCACATATGTTTTCTATGAACATAACTGATACGTATACCCATTCATCTGGTGAAAAAGTGAAATTTAGAGCTTGGAATAAAATCGTCAGTGAATATTACACTTTTATAGGCAGCACTCTCATTCGCTAACTATACAGAAAAATGTCCGAAAATATATCCTACCACATATGCATTAAACATTGAAAAACATATGAGCTACAAATTGACGGATACATCCTATCCCTTTTAAAAGTTGCAATATTTTTGTACTGTCCAAAAAATGGCAAACCGAAAAAAAAGGTCAAGTTAAAATCGATCGAACCACACTTTGTTTATTTAATTAAAATAGCTTAGCACTAAGAACATAAATTACATCAGATGTGGTTATTGGTAGAAACGGAAATATGATAATGTACAAACTTCGAAACACGTGACTAGCACATAAAAAATGATTGATATTGTAAAAACAAAAGTAGTTCGTATGACTTAGTGTAAATATACATTTGTGAACTATATCTGAACACCAAATAGTTAGGTTAAAATGGATGATAAGATTTCATGTAACTAATGTTGGTATGTCACTCATTCCGGGAAAATGTTAGTTTTCCACTGACGAACGCACTACAAAACGTAAATTATTATAATCACAACGGTATCAATATTGTTTTAACCAAATATTATTTAATCAGATTCAATGAAATCTATATGTGACTTTAGATGTACTCTCCTCGTAAAATAAAAACGAAAAGTCAATAGGTTCCAAACAATAAAAACAAATATTGTGGAAGGAAATTGATTTTATTTAATGTGCTCGAAGTCATCCACATTTCTTATACTCGGTTACGTCATCATCCCACTTTCTCTCTCACTCTCTCGTTCATGCTTAAAACATCCATCACTTAACGAACATGCCTGAATATTTCATATTACATATAAAATTACGATTGTAAAACTTTCTATTTATTCATACAAATCACCGCGTATGTGAATGAATTACAGCACATGAAATGAAGTGACTTTACTTCATTCCACAATGTTCAATATTATTGCTTTACAAAATTTTACCAAGGAAACCAGTTGCATGGAATTTCCAACATCACCTCTATAGAAAAGTTAGAAATCGTCACAGTCACAAACTGAAAAATAATTAGCTCAATAAACATTCGAAAGTCTGTCTCAACCTAATTCTAATGAAATAAATTGAAGGTAATTAATAATACGGTCACTTATAAATATTTTAGCATAAGTGCTCTACGAATGTATACACGTTTCAGTTAGCACTTACAGATTATTTGTATAAGAAGTCAACAAGAAGACATCCAAGAGGAACATAAAAACTGTCGATCACTTGTTTAGCAGAACGCCGATGCTTCTAAAGCTACTCACATCAGCTAATTTATTAATATTTAATGTTAATAGTTAATCAAGAGTAACTGTTAGGAGTTACTCTAAGACGATTTCCTCGTTGTAGTAAAGAGATAATTCACACTCTAAAAGTAAACTTGCTAAAAACAACCATTTTAGTTATTCGATAAGGTATGTGAGTTTAAAAATCAAAACGAAAGGAATCGAATTCATTCTCTGTCGGTAACAAATAGAATTTATAACATAAAGTACACTATACAGGTTTCTTTACTTCCTGTCTCTCTCTCTCTAAATATATTTTTCATCTGATCAACTGGAGATTATTAGTTGAAGTATTATCTTTCACTGAAAAATAAAATACACCATAAGTAACTGATTTTAATTCAACTCAAAACAGTATTCTATACTCTAAACAAAACACTATCATTTTAATCTATATGAGATTATGCATTAAATATTCAGTCTTTCATAACTTTAAAATTTTCTAACAAACTGAAACAATAAAAATGTATACGTGTGGTTAAGCAGAGAAAACTAAGCCTGGACAAACCATGGGGTCATAAAATTCACAAGATTTTATGAAAAGCTTATAAACTCAAAAGTAAAATAAATTCAGCTAAAATATCACATGATAAAAAGAAAAACATCATTCATAAAAGATACTTGGTGTGTACTGGTGGGTAAGAGATCTGGTCAATTTGTTCAACTAAGCGTCGTTAAATACAGATCTCAGATTTCACAGATGGTAGTACAATTTGAACATTCCTACACAAAAAATTTTTAATTCAGAAAACGATTTTACCATAGCCGATTAACGGTACGAGCTTAACATACTAAAATGATCATATAATTATTATTAAAGTGAATGATCACTGTTAAGTTGAAGGTGAGCTGTAAACTAATTGGAAAAAGACGAATATATAACGCTAGCAACAGTCAGTCAGTCAGTAACAACGTAGAACTTCGTACGTACGTACGTACAGCAGTTCGAGTTGCCATACAACATTAGCACAGAGATGCAGTTGTCAATTCAAATCCCGTAGTGGTAGAGGTAGTAAGAGTATAAGCAGTGATCGAAAAGATTAGGGTTTGGAGATGTTATTTAAAGAGTATAATCCAGTGAAATAAATTTGGAAAGAGAAAAAAGAGACAAGGAGGAATCAGGATATTAGAATTTGGGAGAACACAAAGAGTGGATGCACCTGTGTCATTGCAAACGATTTTGAGCCATGTCATTCAGGGTCTCTAACCATCGGTTGCTATCATCTCGCGGTCCACAACCAGGTAGTCTACACCTACCAACATGACTTAGTCCACTTGTCAGTGACTTCATGGACTTTTGTCATGTTTTGATCTGGCCGCCCCTAGCTTTCTTCCAACCTACTCCTGTACCACTCGCTAGCAACAGCTTCAATAGTTGTTTCCTAGAATAAGATTTATTAGAAACATATGCCTTAAACTGCAGAAAACCACTGGATTGGACACTACCTACAAGAATAAACGTTAGATAACTTAAGTCCGTGACATAACACAAAAAATCGAATTCCATTGAGTAAGATACCTCAAGCTAATGTCTCATTCAGGCGAAAACTCAATGGTGAAGGATTAAAGTTTAGCCAAAAAGTTATTCAATCCTTCAACAATCGGTTTCAAACTAAGTCTTTAACTTGTCTGAATGTTTCGATATGTTCCAAATGTCCTGGTACGGCCGAGAGTGGAGATAGTCCGGTCTTCCTCTCCAAACACTCTTACATGACTACGCATATACAGCCACTGCTAGAGAAGTTTTACTCACTGCCTTCTCGTGGCATTATTGTCGTTTACGAAATTGAGGACAAGAAGCGAATGGCTGGTGCTTCAACCGGGTTGGTGAACACGGAGGATCCACCTAAGGAAAATGGAGATCCCTGATTCTCCAAACCAATGGTGCACATGGGCTGCAGGATCCTGCGGGAACAAATGGCATATGAACCAACTACTGGGCACCGGCTACCACGGGACTGCACCTCCTTATGTTGCTCCACTGCTTGTGGATCAGACTTTTAGCTTGAAAGTTCGGGGAGTGGCTGCCTAAGAAAACCACCTGCTTCGGTTTGGGCACCCGAGTAGTATCACAGCCCTCAGGCAAATCAATGATAACTACTATTGGCTTCATTGTCATTGTGTGACGTACATGTATTTAGTGACTCCTTGTACCAATGTTTGTGTTCAAATAATGTATGTATGTATGTATAAAGCTACGTTATCCCAATGTCTTTAACACTACTCTTTCTGATTATTGCTAATGACATTTTCTACAAAGGTTTACTTCGTATTTCCGCTTAATCTATGTTTTTGAGCACCGGTAAGAATGAAACTCTGAATACTCAATAGTCAGAACGAGGGTGCTACCAATATCTACGGGTTTTCATAATTGCATGGATGTGAATTAAATGTTTAACAGATGATTATGATGAGAATCAATACTGTCATTTTGTTCTTCAATTCATTCTTCCATCTGTTTTATATTTCTATTGACAGAAAGCACATGAACTATGAATCTTATATCCAGTAACAGAAAACCATTAAGTAAAATGTGATATTTAGTTTCTTAAGATAAAATAATAATAAAAAATACTTAACATGGTAATACGTCAATATCAAACATTTATACTAATGACTTAGAAGTACAATGTTGAATGGATCAAAAGAAATCTAGTTGTTCAAATCATACAATTTGAACGAATTCACAGTTTTCTATTGAAAATTTAATTATGATTAAATAATTTATTCTTCAATTATTGAATTGTAGGCTTACAACTCATAACAGTCTACACTTACATTGAGTTTAAAATCCGAAGGGAAGGATTCGTAGTGAATTATATGATGAATTTTCCCTTTAAGAAAATCACCTCAACAGTTACACACAAACAAACAACTATACTTAGACACATGAATATGATTTTTTGAAAGCAATGGGAAAATAATGCAACAAGGAAGAACAAAAGAAATATTTTCATTACATGAATATATATTTCCTGGATGAATATACATCATTTTAGGAATACTAAAACTGGTTAAAAGGTAAATTCTACAAATACATAAAACAAACAAAACATAAACAATTGTAAATGAGTTGTTAGAATGTTCTTTTCTACTTAAAAGAATAACTATATGTATTGTTATGCAGTAAGATATCGATGGAGAATAAAACAAAAAAAGTAGTCTTGACTAACTATTAAGATGATTTGTTCTTAAGTTTGAAGTGGAAAATATTAGAAAGTGGAGAAATAACCTTACTGAATATGTCCAATAAAAACATATATGGATCCGAATTGAATAAACCATATTTAACCTTGTTTACGTCCAATATCATTCACCAGTTTCATTAATGCTTCAGTAGATAAAGATTTGGGTCGTTCAATTGGCAAGCCTAATGCTCTATCCCAAATTAACGAGGCTAAAACACCTAATGCTCGAGAAACTCCAAATAGAACTGTATAATACTGCATTTCAGTAAGACCATAATGCTAAAATAGAATTGAAAAACAATCACAATAAATTTGAGCAATTCTGAAATATTCATGAAAAGAAACTCTTTACTATGAAAATTATGTTGCAATTTGAAAAAACCGGAAAAATCTCGAATTTAATTAGTTAACGAGCATAAACCAAACTACAAACTAGGCTTTATTACCTTGAGTAGCTATAACGGATAAGTAGGTCTTATAATGTCGTTGTGAATATATTTTAGTTGTTAAAATTATCGAGAGAATATTAATCGATAGGTCAGTCAGTCAGCTACAACGTAGAACCAGGAACAAATATGCATCGGTCCAAGTTGCCATACCTCATTAGCACGACAAGATGAACACCAAATTAATTGAAGTAGTTGCTTCAATGATAGTAATATATAAAAGAAAGATTGTGTATAAGGATAGGTGTTACACAATGACCCATTGTATTCTATCAGTAACTGCTTACGAAACTGATCTAATATAGGAGTAAATTAAAAAATTTCCAAATGATTTTCAACATCGTGGTTGACCAGATACCTGTGATTACCGATGTTCTTAGATAGGTCATTCAAGCCAATATAGGTGAGAAGACTAAAACGCAAATTTATAAACGTAATTTACACAGGCGTAACAGTTGAGCAAATGTGAAATATACTATTCAATAAAGAGTAGATTATAGATGAAAGTATAGTACGACTGAACGACCTGTTAACCCAATCCAAGATAAAATACTTCGTCGCTTTAGAGAAAATGCAACTTAATTATTAATCTAACAATAATCCGTTAAAGTGATATATAACATTATCATTTTAAGATTAATAATGCTATTTTTACGATACGTTCGTTATATATGAAAGAACGATGTAAATTAGAGTGGTATAAATCCCATCAGCTTCTTCATAGACTGGACTGATATAAAAGCTTACTCAAGATCGTCTCACACATTAATAGGATACATTAATAATAGTACAGTACGTTGGTCTTTACATCAGATCTAACTTTCAGAGAATAAAAAAGTTATAATTCATAATTTTATGGTGAAGATTGGCACCTACTTACCTACCTACAACCTTAAATAAACATGGCTAACGACAAGACTTTAGAGCAACCATCTAACATACTGTCCACTATTTTAAGGAATATGAAGAGCTGCAATTTTTCCATAAAAATGGATTAGATTACGATTTTTTTGGAGATAATACCAGTCGCAACACTTCTTTTTCAGTACTTCTCTGAATATAACTCAAGAAATCAGTAACTAGAGTGGTTTGATATGAATTTCGCTTTTGAAATTCTCAGTCTTATTAATTCCATACTTCATCATGTTAAAAAATAAACTAGAGGATATGAATCACCAGATAAATGAAACACTTGGAAAAATAAAGTGAAACTCAACCTATTCGGTGACAAAAAAGGACGAATTTTGAAATTTACATGTCCAATACAATAAGAGAAATTGACCTCACCTGAAGCAATACACCACTATGTGCATCCACGTTAGGCCATGGATTTTGAACTTTGCCAAGACTTGTCAAGACTGGAGGAACAACTTTATACAATTGAGCAACTAGTTTGTACAGAGGATCATTTGGAAAATGCCTTTCACAAAATTCTTGTGCACAAGTAAATCTGGGGTCCGTTCTTCTAAGAACAGCATGACCATAGCCGGGAATGACCTGAAACAACAGACGTGACAAGATCACTAAGTAGAAAAAAATCTAATGAATGTAAAAGTCAAATGCTATATACAACAGAGGTACATGTTTAAGCCGCAAAAAAACCCAAACGTACGAGCATGGCTTTGTTTATTAATTTAAATCACTGTAACTATCGGAATCATCACGATATATATACCTTCAGGTAGCTAAATTACTAGCATTTAATGTAGATTGATTAAAATTAAACGTCTAAATCTCAAGAATGTACCAGTATTACCCTGATATTCAAATACAAATACAGTCATGAAACGAACTTAACGACAATTTTAAAGAGTAACTGATACTAGATGAATGCTAATTTATGCGTCATTTTCTGGAATACGCTCAATAGTGTTTACCTACCAATCAAGTAAATCTAGACTCTCGTGTTACGTAAAAGATGCAATTTACTGTGAAGTCGATGTGAATTACAGTTTTATACAAAATCCAAAATTATCAGGTTCCATAAATCTCGCATCGATCGGACCATTAATCTTAGTCTACTGCTATAAAGTTCCTCAAGATAAACATAATTCCTAACAATCTAAATAGTAAAGGAATATCATTTCCCACAAGTACCTGAATATACAATGACAGTTTTTCAGGAACCAATTGACTATTTTTGTTCCCAATAAACTTTTCCACACTTCCTAAGACCTTACATTCTTACTTATAAAGATTCCAGTTTGTGGAATACTATCACATTTCATATTGACTTTCTCACTGTTCATACTGCCTCAATCCGGAAATAGCTTTGTAAACTAAAACCCTCGCATCTTCTGAGGTATAAATATGACAGCTTAACGAGCATATGTAGACCAATTAGCTATCAGAAATCTTTAGAGTTATCACCACTGTAAAACTTTTTCCACACACTTCAAGTAGAAATGTTAAGAAATCGGTACGGGTTACATTTATTAGACACAAAAATCAGTACATAGTACTACAATTTAAGATGGGCAGTACACTTGTGATGATCGAAGTCGAAATTACGTTAAAACACATGAAAATGGGACAAAGATAAATACATATAGGAAAATGAATCAACCAAGCATTTCAAATATAGGAATTTTTTAACTGTTAATCTGTTATACGGATAAACCAAAAGGGGGACTAATAAAAGTGATAGAACTAACCTGTCCGGCATTAAGTGTATCCATTACATACTGTTTAACTTGTTCGTCTGTTGGATTTTTGCCGACTTTTTCTTGCATTTTATTCAGGAAGACTAATACTTCTTGGTTGGCCAATCCATGCAAAGGTCCAGCCAAGCCACACATAGATGCGGCAAAACTAAGGTATGGATCGGAAAGTGCACTACCCACCAAGTGACAGGAATGTGCGCTAACATTACCGCCCTAATAATGAAGTTGCAAAATAAAATTTTTTAGTGGTACTGGGAAGGAGCAGGAATACAACTCAGTAATTTATTATATTACTAATTAATGCAGTTTGATCTAGATCTGAGAACTTTAGGTATAGTTCAGTGTGATTTAAAAACATGATCTTAACAGGTTCTGTCTTGAAAAAGTACAAAAAATATAAGTTTGTTGCATACAAAGAATGCACAACATCTACTGACTAAATGACCTAAATTTACCGTTTTAACAATATATGCGAGGAATTAGATAAGTTACGATGACTTTTGAAGTTAATACTAGCGACATAGCCTTTTTAAAAAATGCACCTTTTAGCTTAGGATCAAGACTAAGAAGATAAATTAATTCCATGGACATCTATTATCAAAGCATTATTTAAAGCGAAATATCATAGGAGAATCAAGTAAAACGGCGAATCCGTTTGATACTTATTATTAGACTGAGAAATGGTAAATACAACTGATAAAACTAGTACACTATTTGTGAGGATTTTCGATATATGTTGAATGACTTTTTAAGCAATGCAGTATCCACTTTATCATATGCTTATGTATACAAATAAGTAAACACGTCTGCACAGCTTTAGTGCATTGTATCGTCTAAGAACGTTTACCCGAACTTTCAAAATTTCTTTAATTCGCAAGTAAATAAATATGGGAAAGTGAAAAAATAGCAACAAACCACATACCTTGATGACCAATGAAATAAAAGTAGCAAACGAAAGTTTTTAAGGAAAAGCTTCCTGAAGATCATAGTAAACATTAGTTGGGAGAATCAAATAACCGGTGGCGTGTATGACCACACGTTCTCACATAGGTTTCTGGAATAACAAATGCTGTTTTGAGTAGCGGCAGCACTGCTTACTTTGGGAATATAAAATATTGATTATATATGTCTTAGCTATGCTAACGCCAGTGATAAACAACAATAGCATACCGTTCGAAAAATTTATATACAGAGATCAGCTGACTTTTATCAGGGCCTGGAACTTTTAGACGATTTCTCCTTAAGGCAGTTTGCCTGACACAAAATTTTAAACTATGGATGAGAGTTTTATGTGAGACATGAGCTAGTCCATAGTAAAACATCTATGAAATTTCTATAATCACATCTTACAGATTTAAGTGTACAGTTCGGTAGTTGGAAAACGGGTTACATCAACTAAGCCCATGACCTATTAACAGCATCGGTCATCAGAAACGCTAAGTTATAGAAAATCAATCAAAAAACACCCGAAATGTGGCTTACCTCATGATCACAGTGGAAGGTTAGGTAAAGACGCATCATTTCGGTAAATCCAGGATCCTCATAACCAAGCATACGACAAAAGTTATGGGACCAGTCCGTATTAGGGTCGATAGCAGTTACAGAAGTACCATCCCGGTACAAATTACGGTAAATTATAGAAGCCACAGTTGGAAGCTTGGCAATCAAATCCATAGAATCTTCGTAAACGTACTATTGAAACAACCAACAAGCAATATGAGTGATTAGTAGTAGATAGCTATATCATTATCTGATGTAATGAGCAGTCGTCCCACTAAACAATGCTACATCTAGATGTTTTATATGACTGCACATTTTTATATTGACGTGTGAAGTCACGAGTACCATTTATTGAGACAGACCCTATAAACGATGAGGAATGATCATCTGGACTCTAGAACACCTTCGTAGCAGGTCACAAGTAGGAAGCACGAGAATGTGGGTTATCACAAATGAGGGGCAACAAAGAAGTCATGATATGGAACGGATCAGTCACAATAAAATTTTCCTGGCTTACAATACAACATAAACTCATCATTATAACAGGCTAGAAATTCCGGCCGATTGCGCATCAACCTCAGGAAATTCAAAAATGACAACACCAGCTCGAAAATGCGATATTATAGTTAAATCACCCAACATTTAACAGCTGTCATTTTCGCATCATGGTTTAGAGCTTGGTAAGTGAACACATACTTAGTCATATTCATAAAAACACACTACCTATAAGCAGTCAGTCAATTAACGTAGGACCTGACAAGTGTAACAGCTCAGATTGCTGAATACAACACCCTTCTTAACACAGAACTATGGGATGATCGGTAACTCGAAAAAACATGCATGAAGTGCAAGATCTCCAGAACCTTAGAAAGAACCCCTACCTTTTCTTAAATGATGCATGACAATTTTGTAAGTTATGAGTAGCCCATGTTAATTACTCTGAATGTACATCAGATTATGACAGGAAGCTATCTCCATTCGTCTACTTCAAATCAACAACTTCGAAGATTACAGGGAATGTATAAGTCATTTAAAAAAATGCTCACCTCCCAATACAAACTTTTCTTGATACCTTGTGAATAGGCTCGTGCAAACTTTGATTCTGAATTTAGAGCGGCACAAGCTGCTACCAGTTGACTCATAGGATGAAGAGATGATGGAAAATTATCTAGCATGTTTAGAACATGAGATGGGAGGTCAGCTCGGTTTGCGAATTCTTTTGAAATATCATCCACTTGTGCTTTGGTTGGAACTTTTCCTGTCAGTAGGAGAAAGAAGATGCCTTCTGGAAGTGGCTCATGTCCACCAGGAGCTTTTGGAAGCTGTTTCTGACAGTCTGGAATTGAAAGACCACGAAATCGAATCCCTTCATTAACATCCAGTACAGATGTTTCGGTGACTAAACCTTTGATACCCCGCATACCACCATACATCTATACATGTACAATTTAGAAAAGGTCACAACCAACCATATCGACAGTAACGTCACCGACTTTTGTGGAACCGTATTCCTTTCTAAAAGATGCTACTTTTGCTTGTTCTTTAGGTACTAGGTCAGCCATTATATCTTTCAAACTCTGAATGTAAAGGGAATTATTATAAATCTCATCTTACAGCAGAAGCAACAGGTGTGGACGAAAATTGTCGAAATGCATTCCACAAGGTTAACTCGCGACTGAGACTTAAAGACCTGCGCGTAACCTGAAACATGCTTATTCCAACCGAGGCTTGGGGAATCAGACCGCGTATTTGGATTCGTGATACAATGTCCAATATTTACGAGCTCAGATGGTTCAAATGGTTCAATTAGTTGTTAAGTGAAAAGAAAAATCCTCCGTTTGACCGCCTTCTGTATCACTTGGAAGTGAAATACCGATATCTCCAAGCAAATATCAGTATATTATTAACAAATACCTTCATGAGTCCTTGATTATATATCAAATTTCCTCTTGAAAGACTCATGAGATGTCGCTTAAACCACTTCATGAGACAAAGAATTTTAAAATTCAACTTATCGTAATGAGTAGAAGGTGCGATTATTGACCATTCTGCTATTTCAAAAGGTTTCGTGCTACTAATTTCTAGGTATTGCTCCAAATGTATCTGTTGGCACTTAGCTTTAGTAGCTGTTTAAGGAACTGCCAAACAGTGCTCAGGGTGCTCTTAGTTATTAAAAGCCCACCTCTTAGACACCTATACTGTAGTTGTTACAGATTTGATCGCAGGATATCAAGAAATCTTGATCCAGATCAACTTGGTACAATTCTAGAGGGGGATTACGTAAGTTGTGCGCTTAGCCTAAAGCATGACTCAGATGGACTGCTTGAAGTGTTGAAGGTAAGTCCGATGTTATCCACCCAACTTTCAAGTCGAGTCAGATCATCCTGTAATATCAACATATCATCTTGGTCATAAAATTCTACCACAACGTTTCACGTCATCAGCGAAAAGTAGTTAATCAGATGATACTTGGTGAGGGAAGTCGTTTATATAAATTAGAAAGAGAATAGACTTTGGTTCTTAGCCACAGGGGACCCGACAAGTATATTCTGTAACCTGAAAAATGTGAAGTCAACCCTTATTTTAAAATTTTGATTGTTCATGTATGAAGTTAATCGGTTTATTATTATGACCTGATACCTAATGAAGCACTTATAGTTAACATTATCAAAGCTTTTAAGAGGCCAAGGTATATGACATTCTCCTACCTCTTGAGATCAGGAATAAATGTACATCTACCCACCGCAGTCAGTCTGGTGGCTATGCAGGTGCTGTCCTCTCAGAAAGTATTTCGGGATCAAAAGAAGTTTATAGATACCAATTAATCGCACATATTACCATCCACTGAAGTTTCCACAACATTCGACTGCATTACAAAATGTATTTCCATTACGTCAACCTCATTGAAAATTGTCTTGGAGCATAGTTTGGTTTAGAGAATTTGAAAACATTAAGCGATATTGCCTAGATTTAATTCGCTCCGCTGTATGGCACAGTGAACCACATTCGAGACACGAGAAATGACCTTGTTCATATACTGAAATTTCTGATACACAAAGTTATTTCTCAGGCTCACCTCTGGAAGTCCTGTTGAATTGCAAGTGAAGCTCTCGTCAATTTCGTTTGTATGTGACAGTTAAAATGTTTGAAAATACTGCTCTACCATTGCATCGGCAGCACCACCGTCGTTTTTGTTTAGGCAATTAGGACCTAACAAATTGAATCTCTGGTTTGGGCTTGTCGAAAAGGGGCTGAATGATGGATTAAGCTTTACAATTAGAGACAAAATCATCGACTAGCTTAATCTGATACTGAATTCTATCCTTTGTTGAGCCTTGGTGTATGGGTTCATTGGTTCCTTTAACTATCGATATGTGTTGTCATAACTAGTTTGTCTATATTCCACACTCCAGTACTTTTTAAGTTGAAACGTTTGAAGTATTCGACGCCCCGTGACTGTAGGTTACCTGTAACTTTTGCGGACAATTTACTGAACATATTGGTTTACAGCCTTTAGGATTCATGTGAAGTAATATATCCCAGTGAGCGTCCACATCAAGTTGAGGATAGTCTTCCCACTCCGTACACTGTAGATTATCTCCCATAGCGGACACATTCAACCGTTTAAAAGTCCAAAACCTACTGTTAACGGGATATTTTGGCTCAGTTTTGCAAATTAATCTGAAGACTATGGTGGAGTGATAGCATTTCCCCAGGGTGGTATTGATTGAGGCGTAACCAATTAGCAACACTCAGTTTGTGAAGATGTATTCTAGGCGCAACGGAGTCTGACTGATTCCCCACCGATTTTTCATTTTCGTGTTTCCAATTAATTCAGAATCTTCAGTGTAGTTGAAGAATCTGGCGTCAGCAAATTTATTATCTTCATTGTAAGTGTATCCAGGGAAGTTGACTTTATGAAATTGGAGTTTCTTAAAACCCGGAAATGACTATATCTGAGAAGAAAAGAGCTGGATAATCTCCTCAGCATCTGACTGCCTTACTCCGTGTCAGCAGTGAACTTTCTATTGAGAACTACAACTACATGTCTTGAGGTGTCAGATAGTCTCACTGGGTACAATACAGATCCAACAAGATTGATAACTTCCCACGCGTAAACTTAATGTACCACCAAACGGGACCGCGGGCAAAAAAATGACTGCATTTCGTCAAAGTTATTCCGTAATCGAGGAACAAAGACATGTCATATATTGCCATTTCGTGATCCGTAACCTAAGCAGACGTCCACGTTTCAGATACTCTTATCAAATGAGTATTATTAACGTTGCCTAGTCTTCTCAACTTATCCATTTTGCCCTGCAAACTGTCATAATTCATACATAGGCAGTTGACCCTTTCTATGAAGAACACATGGGTGCCCTCGTCCTGTTCGTCTGGATGAGCCGTATGTCAGTGAACAGGTAACCCACCTACACTGGATTTTCCGAGTGGTTGGTCCCTGTCACCTACTCATTTTCTCTTGTTCTTGATAGTTCACATGTGGAATGGTCGGTTCCGACTTGGTATTATACTCGACTCTAGCATTATGTGGTCTGACTGGATAAATGTGCGCTCCAGTCAGTATCCTTATCCTGGTGACATGAAATGCACCAAGAATGTTAGCCGCCGTTTGAAAAAACGAGAAAGGTTATCTGGCCAAGGTCTAATGTCTCAGTTTTTCTTGGGTAATCGCGCTACTCGTTGGGTTAATATATTCTTGAGCTTCACGGACCGATTTATGAACTTTTACTCTACAATAACACAGTCTGGAATACCAGGGTCTGTGTTCTCTGGGATACCCTGCACAATATTTTATTCCGCGAAGAAACAGCTCGCCAGAGTCTTCTGGGAAGTTCCTGATGAGATTGCGCTCAAAATATGGTACATCAGGCAGCACATACCCTTTTGATTTCACCAAGTGAATAGAGAGCAAAATATCCTCCATGTCAGCAGTCTTGGTGAAAGTTACACGAAGGGTATTGGGTGGTTTAAGTACTTGGCGTCTTTCCTCCTGAGTAAGCCGTGGGACCGTTGGTGGCTCAACTTCGGAAAGGTGAGACTTTTGTTTAACTCATCTCTGAGTGTCCTGTTGTTTTTGTACTCCAGACTTAGAGGAGAGCCAAAGCGGTCACTAACGACCGATTTCCCATGTTTTTGAGTACGACGAGTTTGAGTCTTTTTTTCTTAGCAGTCAGAATATGATCCGTATTCCCGTAGTTTTGTCGAACTGGTTGGGCAAGCCTTAGAGTAGGTTGCACGGCTGGTGAGTTAACTGATTTTCTTGCAAGACATGGGCTACGGAGGATTGTTGATAATCATTTTCGATTTGTTTTAGCTCTATTGACGTGCAACCAATAGCCTACGGTTGGAAGATTCGGGAACGCAGTCGCATTAGATGAGTGCGTCGAAGGATACAAATCTACTGAGATAGTCTAACACCGCTGACCTTAAGACATTACTGAGCTAAAGAAAATCTTTACTTGTTTTGGCAATAGGTCTGTCAATAGTGACGTCGTCAAAAACCCTCTTCTTTACCTCCCTATTTGTCATTGTTTGTTTATCCGTCTAGGGACTGACTGTTTTCGGGTTTTCCGACACACATTTTGTAGACTTATCAGGAGAATGATGATATTGCTCACTTTATTATCAGGATTCATATTCCATATCCCATGTTTTCACTCGCGATTTGATTTAGGGAGTTGTGCAAGTAGTTCCTGTGAGGTCTTAGTACACTTCATGAAACCACACTTCACATATCTCACACTGCATAACAGGGATGATTGGAAACAGGGACCGGTTCGTTTACACTTGTTCTTGGTGAACATTTGAGGTAGAAATTATGAAAAATTGGGATAAACGTTTATAATTGTGATACAAATTGGATGAACCGGATAAAAAATGGATTGAAGAAACACGAATTGTATCCAAACTAGCCACATGACGTGAGAAGCTGTAAAATCCAAATCGTAAAACTACAGTTAACTAATAATTCGGAGGGAACTCAAAAGCAAAATAATCGAGAGAACGTTGAACTCAGGATAGAATTTTTGATCAAAAATGGTACTTTTGTTACTTCGGGGCATAAAAATTTCGAGAAATGCCATTACAGTGTCATTGAGGAGGGTGGTCGGTCATAAAGTAATGGAGAAAAAATTTTCGAAGGCTAAAATACTAAGGGGAAGTAGAGAGATGAGACCGGAATAAATTGATAGAACTTAATAGCGCTTATAACAAATAAAACGCGAGATGCATGAGGCACGGTTGGGCCATGAGTGAGTATGAGTTACCAAGTTTCCTCTGAAATCTATACACTGGTGAGTCTGTGATCACTTCGGTTTGGAGGGCATTCCAGATAAGAGTAACTCTTAACGAGAAATCGTTGGAACCTACATAGGTTTTTGACCTCCGATGTGGAATTTTTTGAGAGCTGATTTTAGTCGAACTAAGGAGCTGCTTTCGACTTTGCCCATCTGAATATATTTTGAGTTGGTCTTCATGCTCTCTGGTTTTAGATCGAGCTCTTTAGGGACAACTGAGAGATGATTATCATAAAATACGTAAGTTGTTTGTATTCGATGGATCTGGCTGTTCATCGCATGATATCTACTCTCCGCCATCGATCTTCTTATTTTTGTGTGGTTATTTGAAAGCCTGATTAAGTCTTTTCCTTTTTTATAAATCTTTGCCAATCGTCGCCTTTACGTCTGCATCTGAAGCTCCTTATTCATCGATGATGCTTTCCAGGAATGCGGACGATTCTCCATCTTTCAGAGTTTCGCCATCAAGTGTGATTGGATTGGTGTATAGTATTGTATTTGAGGACCTTGGTTTTCCCCTTGTGTATGTTGTGGTTTACTGATGCAGAGACTGCTGCTACATTGACTGTCTTTGTCTGCATTTGTTCGTGTGTATGGGATAGGAGGGATAGGTCATCTGTGAAATCCAGATCGTCTAATTCGTTTTTAGCTATCCATTGTATGCCGTGTTTTCCCTCAGATATCCAAGTCTTAATAATCCAGTCGACCATCAGAAGAAAGAAGAAATGAGAGAGTAGACAGTCTTGTCTGACTCCGGTCCTTACTTGGAATGCATCTGTCAGCTGTCCTCCATGCACTACTTTGCACTGTAGTCCGTCGTATGAGTTCCGAGTAATGTTGACAATCTTCTCAGGAACTCCATAGTGACGAAGAAGTTTCCATAATTTTTTCATATCTACACTGTCAAACGTCTTCTCATAATCAATGAAGTTGATTTATGGTGACGAGTTCCACTCAACTGATTGTTCGACGATGATCCGTAGTGTCACAATTTGGTCTGTACACGACCTATCCTTACGGAATCCAGCCTGCTGATCTCGAAGTTGGGTGTCTACTGCGTTTTTCATCCGGTTCAGCATTACTCTGTTAGACTTTCCGTGGTACTGACAGTATTGTGATGCCTCTGTAGTTCTCATATTTTCTCAGATCTTTCTTTGAAATCTTAATGAGGTGTCCTTCTTTCCAGTCCATCGGCACTTGTTCCTCCTCCCAAATCTTTCTGAATAGAAGGTAAAAGTAAGGGACTAAATTCCGTTATCTCCGTGTTTGCGTCTTGATATAAGAGAACAGTGTTTCTAAACCGCAGTGAGAATCCCAGTTTAACTGCCTTCTTTATAATAATCTAGCTGAATTTGCTAACTATTTCTACATGTTTATAGTCTCATACTAGGTTGATTTGAGTAGTACAGAACCTGTAAAGATAAACATGTGTTAAAGTCTCTTCGTATGTTGAAGTTGATTGATCCATTTTTGTTATCCTTGGTGGAGAAATATTGGGTTTGTGTCGTTTTGTCATGGTATACAAGAAGATGAAATGGAAGCAATGATACTTTTAGATCTAAAACATACTAATACCAATTGACTAGTTCGCTTCTGTAACAAACCCATGTAGATCCAATGTGTTTGCTCACCACATATTTAAACAAGGCTGACCATAGGCTATGCCACGAGTTCTGAATTGGAACAGAAAAACATTGTGACCACTACTAGCTAGAGTGGGATTATATCCTAGTTTTCTTGCGTGATTACAAAGTGAAACAAATAAGATTATTGGCTTGACCCAAAATGCGTAGATTTGGATATGCGCTGTCGTACGGCGTGATTCATCATAACAGTTATTAGCCTACTTTTATGCACCCATAGCAAGAGGACTGAAATCCCTCTATTACCAGGACCTAGTCATGACAATTTATACTCCAGAGTTATATCACTTGGTTTCACTAGGACCTTCAGCTTCCCTATTCCATGAATTTTATCCCATAGATGATGAAAATTGGTGTTCAAAAATTTCGAAGTGTATCACTTACCCATGCATGCCTGGCGAGGATAGCTTCTAAGGTCCAACCATCAGGAGTCCATTCAATCCCTCAAACCATAGGATTATTTGAACGAATTTTCACGGTCAAAAGTAAATGTTTTCATTTATCCGTATACTTATACCTAATAGTTTTTAAAATGAACCTCAGCCAACTTCTTAAAATTTTCTTTGATAATTGTCAGCGTTCAACCCTTGTTACTAATCGCAATGACACTGAAAGCTCGGTTATATTCGAACTTGTTCCTTCAGCAGCTATTGTTAATTCATGCAATGTCAATTATTTAACATTGATTGGCGTGGACTATTGCTCATTAGTGAAAGGAGAGAAGGCCAGAAGTGCTTCAGACATTTATAAATTTTTTTAGGCCTTAATTCCCTGGAGTTATTTATTGCAACGACTTCGGCTACGCATCTGGTTCACTTTGGTTACTGAAGAAAATACGTACCGTTTGCGTTGCGATTTGCCCCTTTCGACTTTATTTCAGTGCAGCCTGAAAATCATGGTGTTGCGATTCATTTGTTCGTTGTACACTACCTGTAGATTTTGTAATAATAGTAAAGGCACTTTGAAATTTTTCAACTTAATTAAGTTGATTTGTAGACTTTCCGTGGTATTTTGTTGAGGAATCTTGTGATTTTGGAATTGGAACCTCAAAAAATTTCTGGGGGTAGAGTCCCTGATTTTTGTACCTCTATGAAACTCCACTTCCCTTCATTTGGCACCTTGGTATCTCGAAATGTTGAGTCAATTACCGCCATATTCGGGTCTTCAGATGAAAGAACCCAGGCTTCGCATTCTCATACAGATAGTCTGTAGCTCTATTGATTCTGAACCTTACGATCCTTGAAGCCGAACATACGATAACTCAGGAGATCCACATTCAAAATTTAACAATTAAAGATCAGAAATGGTGAACACGAAAATAACTAACTGGTGTAGCATGGATAGGCTATGCAATTATGGTCACACTATGTAACCTACTTCTTTTCTCATTAAATATATTATTCTGTCGTCAGTTTAACTGTGTTCTTCAGAAGTGGTAAACATCACATTGCTGACTGTCATGACAGGATGAGTCTGTATATATAATGATATAACTAACACGTAAGATCTTATAGATTAGGTAATCGCGTCATGGCAAATTTAAAATTTTAGGATTGGGTTTATCACTTTATTAGCAAAGATAAAAGCTCTTAATACCGACCTAGATCACAATTCACAGGCCCTCTACCATGTAAAATGTCACACTTCATGAACTTCATGTGTTTTGATGAAGATTTATACACTTTCAAATTTCATCTGTTTCGTGGTTAGATCAAGATATCATTATTAACGTCAACCTATCCACAAGTGACAAAAGACCAAGAACATTTTGGATGAATAAAGTCTTGCTCCGATAGAAAAACAAGCATCCCCAATGTGCACTATGCTTCAAGGTTTCCGAGTTTGAATCACGTTTTAAAAGGGTATGCTCATTTCAGAACTGCTTACTACATACGAAATACTGCACTCCCTCATTAAAAGAGATGTGATGCGACTCTCTACACGGATAAGTGTGTCCAACAGTTACAAAGATTTGCCCAATATTCAACAATTAGATGACAAAACAGCAAGATAGCTTAGCATTGCAAACGTTAACTTGAACCAAACATTTTCCTATTTTCAGAAAAAAGAGTAACTCGTTAGTAGTCCGCTGATTCAGTTAGTATATTGGTACAGTAAAGTGAGTACACAAATTACGGATCTTTTAATGTCAACTACAGCCAGTATGGTGTATTTAAGTTTATCTGACGACCAGATAAATAGACCGCAAGTAATATTATGTCTTAGTTCTTAAGATTAGTGGTGGGAATGGCTGTTAGTTTACGACTGATGCTCAAGTTGGTCTTCCGCTAAACTTTTGTTTTCTATACTAATCTTAGCCGTAATCGTTTTTGTTCAGTTATGTGGTAGCAAGTGATCACTTGAGTCCACAGGATATTTCAGTAGCATAGCAGTATTTTACCGACCTATAAAACCCATTATACCAAACGTCGTGTTTCTTGGGACTATGTTCGTGATTACACACTGAAGGTTTATTATGTAAAACTGACTTGCAAATCATCAGCACATGTAATATGTCAGTCTACTCGAGTTGGACGGGAATGGTACGACCTCTTAGCTAGTGTCGTAGCCACCCCCCACAGTTAATACTTAGCCTGATCATTCTGATAAGATAACCAGGCGATTGATTGGAACAAATAGTTTCAGTAGGCGACATCACATATTAGTATTAACTGTTAGCAGAAGTACAGGGAGGAAAAACTACTTCATCCGCCTGTATATAGGAAGCCACTAATTGGTGTCTATTTGTCCTCATTGACTTTGATGAAGACAGATAAAGTGTTGGACATTCAATGATCTGGCTGATGAATGGTTTGGCTAGGACTCAGTGACATTGCTCTGGTCCTACAGACTTTCCATTGAATATGCCACATGTATTCGGAGTTTGACAACGCTTTCACCAGAAACACCTTCCATATGAATTGTACCCACCAAGTGAAATCAAAAGACAGAAGTGAGTAGGCTTGAAGATATATTTGATAAGCTATCAATATATCGAGGATCCTCTGATCTAATCTGGCTAGCGATTTCAGGGGTTGTTGAGCATGGCGTTTCCACTGGTGATCTGGTGCGGATGCATGACCGAGCACCTTCCTCTAGGTGAGTCCATAAAAACATGTGGTCAGCATTTAATGTTGAAAACTTACAGAGCTATTTATTTTGGGGATTTATTTACCGCTACACCATAAAGCCATATAGTTCATGAATCTTGTGAGACAAAAATACCTCATGGTGAAATTCATCTACAAAGTCATTTAGAATTTCCGTAGATAATAATTTAAATCTGGAAGTTATCGTACCTACATCACTTATTCACCAGAATATTTAGATTGGATATTGGTTACATATCAAATTCTTCTAAAAGAAAGCGCTTCTTACGAAAAGTTCTGAAGGCACTATTTTTAATCTTCAGAGTAGGGATTATAATTTATTCTAATGTGTACGGAGGAGAAGGAGATGGTACTTGTTTAGTTTAACTGACCTTTCTTAAGTGCCCCTTATGTATGGAACCGATGGAGGCAGATGACATCTCATTTTACCCGTGTGATTGCCGGTACCAGGTAAATAAATGAGTTATCCCGTCATAAAGACTAGGTATGCCGATTTTGCTGGGCTAAGATAATTAACGAGGAAAATGGGCTTTGTCCAGCTTGTCGAAAGGTAAGTCTCAGCAGCTTGTATAGAATTGTTTAGGAATATAATTCAGAAAAACCGGCATCTTACAAACCTATTTCGGAGACTGAGTAAGTGATGAATTTGGAATCTACTCGTTTCCTAGGGAATCTCGTTGTAGGTCTAGTAGAAGACGCAAGGATTATATAAAGAAGACAAAACTCAATCCAGAAATGCTCAAAATTCTCCCAGAGTTAAGGTAATTGTCTATCAAAGAATGATATTGTTGGCTAGAGTTGTTCAGCCAAATCTGATATTTGTGGTCGGTTTACCTACATGGATCTCAAAGGATAAGGAAATACTTAAAGGCCAGAATTATTTCGGTCGTTATGGGAAAATTTTTAAAGTGGAAGTTAATCAAAACCAAACTTTCGGTGGACCACAGGTATGTTTAATGAATGATGGTGACTGTGTTCAAACTTGTGTCTTAAGAGTATTTTGCAAATTGCTTATGTCGCCTCTCTCTCTCTCTCGAAATTTTCAGGGTCAACCTAGTTTTAGTGCTTATATAACATATTATCGGGCTGAGGATGCCATGCGGTCTATAAGGGATCTTAATCAGAGCACTTTACATGGAAGACCAATCCGTGTATCACTTGGAACTACAAAGTACTGTAGTCAGTTTTTAAGGGGTACGAAATGCACCAAACATGTGAGTTTCATGATTGCGATCTATTATTGTAATTAAAAATTATTCATACTCGTTTAAAGCATAGTTTTGTGAATAGTTCCGTGTAACTGTCATCCACTCTCTCAATTGCAGTTGGTTACTAATCAGATTGGATACAGAGAATTAGGTTTGTCAGCCTTCTCTCGTATGCTTAAAAAATTTATGGACCCAACAAGTCGTCCTTGAAATGCGAATGGTTAGAAACTACCGTACTGACTCTTGAAAAATCAATAGATTGTGTCATTTGCTTAGTTTATCGTCCGCTATTTTTCTTTACATATTTTAAAAAATGTCTGCCCAGTTCTTTCTTGTTTTGACACAGTTTTAAGTGCTTGGGAAATAATCACCAAAACGTACGTTTCATCAAAATGCTTTAAAATAGATGATAAGCTAGTACCGTAAACTTTATTCCTGGTTTCGTTGATATCCTGTGTTAGGTTATTTTTGTTTATGTGATGTTATTTTACTAAGTGCCCGACAAAATACTTGATTCTGAACAGAAGGTAGTTGTTTAGTTGGGATATAAAGTAATTGTATCTACGCCACTTGATTCAAGGTAGGAAATTCTTCAAGGTTCAGTAAACTCCTTATCAAGTTTATTTTTACTACAAACATCCTGTACTTTACGTAATATTGGCAATTTTATTACAATATGTGTATAACTGTATGTGTTGCACCCTTTCAAACGATTATATAGAGAATACTTCATTCTTTAACGAAGTTTCCAAACAAAACTTCGGTCTTTCGATAAGTCTGTACAATACTACTTGTTAAGTCCGGCCACTCTAATACCACCAAAAAGCCACTCAGATTTAGCAACTTGACTCAATACAAATTTGTTTGATGATACATTGACTGAAAAAGTCACTCACGAAACAAGTTAACAAGGATTTTGTAGTTACTGCTACATGTTTCCAAGTTACTGAAAATATTTCATACATCAATGGGTAGAATGTGGAGGTTTAAGTAGTTTAATAATCCATTTCGTTAACTTGAAGTGACTTTCCACACTTTAAATTTTATGGTTTTCTCGTAGACTGGGATTTTGTGTACCCAGCAATTTCATTTGATATTGTATCAGTATCTTGCCTACGTTTTGTTATGACCTTGGATGTCTGACTTTTCTATCACGCGATTTATCTACCAATCCGGATACGACTTATACGAATCTTCACACTAGGCCAACCAATGACGTTCAACCGGTGTGGGCAGTTTAGCGTCCTTATTGGTCCTATGTCCTACGAGCCCTTCCACTTGAGTCCAGAACAAGATACCAGCTTCCGAATCAGAGCAGATCGTTTATTTCAGGCATACTTGGTTTATATATCAATCACACAGACCGCAACGTACCATAAAATAGGAAATAATATTTGTACACAAATAAGCCCAAAAAGTGGCTGTGAATGTGGGAGGCAGTAGTTAATAAACTGAACATAACTTAAGAACCGTAAATCGTACAATAATAAATTATAGGCCAAAATAAAGCTTGTCATAAGAGGGATATAAATATACATAGTGTAATTGTTGAGTAGTTATACAATAAGAATATTTATAGAATATTAGTCCATGAATAGTCCTCGGAAGTTACCTGTAATTTAATCTCCACTCGGATATAACACCTCCCCTTTTTTTTTTGAAAATTCCAACTTTAGATTCTGATTAAAAAAAAGAATCATATGTGACTTTAAATTCCTCAACATTCTCCTCCTCCTCGAAATAATGTTGGGTCCTTATGGCTCCAAATTACAACTAGTAGGACTTTATTTAAACCATGTTTCTCGTATTGACTGGAGAAGCCACTAAAAATGACTAGATGATGATGAACGACCTTTGATCTGAGTTCATTATTTTCAAATTCATTATGAATCTCGTTAGCAGATAACGAGTCATTAAGAAAGTCAACGTCTAACAGAATTAAATTAGATTTTTGGCCATCATTCGACTCAGCTGACATATTTCCCTCATTGTTATAAGAAGTTTCATCAAAATCATATGCATTATTCTGAGAATCAATATCTGGCACACTGTCATTAGAAATGGGATAAGTTGACTCAATATAAAATTCTGTCTTCCGGTGATTTTGAGTAACATCTGGTACAATTTGGTTCATCGTGTTGCTCCAGTTATTTTCTGAATACGAGTCACCATAGCTTTCTCGACTAGTAGCACGTGGACCACAATTTTGTTCGAGCTGACGTTTATTTTCGCAGCTAGACAGTACCAGTAGTGTTTCATTTGATTCTGGACTCTGGGCATCATCTACAGGATCTGGCTCCTGATCATCTGGTATTGTCACAACTTCATGTGCATTTAGCACAATATTTTCTTGCTCTGAGCTGGACACGTTACCAATATTACGTTTTCCTTCTGGTATAGAAGGATTTGAATCCTGCACAGGATATGCTTCTGAAATGTCCATTACTGCACCATTATCTGCATGATATATAGATTTCTTATTTTCTGCTTGAATGCAAAGTCTGCCCAAAACTGTTACAAATAGCTGTTGTTGCAAGGCAAACATCTTCTGCTGGTGCTGTAATATTAACCGCAACTGTTCGAAAGAAATCGACATTTTTTTTTGCCAATAATATTAGCTCCAAAAATCACCGGCAATTATACAGCTAATTTATTTCCAAAATCTGAGTCACCACTTGTATTATTATTATTTTTTTGTTGCCAAAATCCCCGTCGCCAATTGTTATGACCTTGCGTCTCCCAATTATTTTGTTTTTGCCAAAATCCCCGTCGCCAATTGTTATGACCTTGGATGTCTGACTTTTCTATCACGCGATTTATCTACCAATCCGAATACGACTTATACGAATCTTCACACTAGGCCAACCAATGACGTTCAACCGGTGTGGGCAGTTTAGTGTCCTTATTGGTCCTATGTCCTACGAGCCCTTCCACTTGAGTCCAGAACAAGATACCAGCTTCCGAATCAGAGCAGATCGTTTATTTCAGGCATACTTGGTTTATATATCAATCACACAGACCGCAACGTACCATAAAATAGGAAATAATATTTGTACACAAATAAGCCCAAAAAGTGGCTGTGAATGTGGGAGGCAGTAGTTAATAAACTGAACATAACTTAAGAACCGTAAATCGTACAATAATAAATTATAGGCCAAAATAAAGCTTGTCATAAGAGGGATATAAATATACATAGTGTAATTGTTGAGTAGTTATACAATAAGAATATTTATAGAATATTAGTCCATGAATAGTCCTCGGAAGTTACCTGTAATTTAATCTCCACTCGGATATAACACGTTTCATATCTTTGTAATTTTCTAAGAAGAATATACAGCTTTTTGTTGAACACTAAAGATCATCTTGTTCTGTCTTTAGTTTTTATAATATTATGAATAGTGCTAAAGTATTCTGTCACATGCAAGTATAGTTGAGTTAGCTCTCTAAGAAAGTAAGCAAGCCGTTCCTAAAAGTAAACGGTTTGATCCAACAGATGAACAAACAACTCTGTTCTTAGTCACAGACTTTTGGTTGGATTGCCACTTTTTGTATTTAATCGAGATTTTTAAATATAAAAATAAGTTGTTCAACTGAGTCATCAGCCATTTAGAAGCTAAGCGAAAATACCCCTACATTTAGTCAAGCTGTCCATTTTTGTGTCACACTCGTTAGACTGCATGTTTACTAAACCATGTAACAATATACAAATTCTGTTTAGTAGTGGAAATTACATTGACCACTGATACCATCATCAAAACATCCATCAGACTGGCTAATAACAAATGACTTTATTGATTATTAGGCATTCATTTTGTTATGCATGTTCCGTTAATGATTTAAGTGTTTCCGTTAGATCCTGATCCGATTGTTTTGTGTGGTTAGACCAACTAATTAGTTTATAAAACGGGTTAAATATTACTGTTATGTATATAACTTCAGAAATGTGATTTACTATTTACTTAAGTTCTTGAAATCTCCATTGAGGGTTTTCATGAATTACGGCTAATTTTCAGCCTGTTTTTACCACTCGATCTTCCTAAAAGGATAAATAACAGTTGTTATCATACCGATGCACATATGTGCATGGTCCTACGTTGTAGCTGACTGACTGATACAAAAGCTGTATCCCTTTTCATTTCCCTTATGTGAAATAAGTTAGAGTCGTTTCACCTGCGTGTTCATTTGATTGCTACTTATGTGATTAATAACAAATTAACTGCTCAGTCTTTTAATCATTTGTAGACCTTGGGTGAATGTGCATTAACCCAAGTTCTCAAAATAAATCAGTGCAATAAGATGAAATTAACATGATGGCAAATAAAAAGTCGAAATAATTATGGTAGCTTTGTTAGTGAGGAAGACTATACACTGAGGATATGATAAAAATCAACTTATCTAACATCCGAATATATATATTTATATCATCTATTGTGACAAATTATTCCTTCATATTTTTTTAAAATGTTTAGAAGTATCAAAAAATAAATATCTCGAACGACCTACCATTTTTAGTTTGTTGAGATGTCTAACCTTTTCATTTCTTTTTTTCTGAGGGTTTTCAATACATAGAGGTTTAAAGTAGTTTATTTTATACGGTTTATTGGTTCACAAACCTATTTTTATGCTTACTAGGTAAGACAGGTTTCATCGAGGTAGTTTACGTTAAAGTTATTCTACTCACATCCCAACAACGTTTTTGGTTATGATTACGCTTCATAAGTATTGAATATATAGCTGGCTTTGTCATTTATCACAGTACTTAAATCATGACTACTTCGTCAAGATTATGTCTTTTAACTTACATGCCATTTTGATTTTTCACAAACGATTATTTTGTTTCAAGGAATGCATGTACTTGCATGAACTCGGTGATTCAGCTGCTAGTTTTACTAAAGAAGAAATGCAAGCTGGAAAACATACTGAATACATGAACAAGTTGTTGCAAGATTTCTGTCAGTCTAAATCATATTCACTTGATTCACAAAAGGAAGAAACAACTATCTTAGGTTCATTAGATTCTTCTGTCTCGAGTCCCAATGATGCTTCAGTACCTCATACCAGTGAATCAAGCAGCTACTCCAATGGACGTAATCGCTTCAGATTTGAAGACACACCCATGCTGTCTGTAGAAAACTCGGGCGTGCAAGTTTCAGATCGATGCACTACACAGTCCGATCAAACAAGTGCATCACTTAAGGAGATTCGTAAATTAAGGCATACTAATAAAGATAATTCAAATGCTGTCTCAGTTTCCGATACCTCATTGGCTGATAAATCTAAACTAAATTATAATAATTCTAACAAACCGAGTAGTTGGAATCATTCGTCATCAATTTCATCATCAGATTATCCAACTAGAAAACTCGGAAAAAACTCATTGGTACTTTTCATTTCAAGAATTCGTCTGAAAATACAAATACAGATAAATCATATGTAGAAGGAACTAAAGGTAACCATATCCGGCACCATAATTCCACCCAGAATCGGATTTGTTGCCTCGCTCTATCCCATCTAATCAAGTATCTACACGTACTGAGCCTATTTGTACCAGCAGTAATGGCTGTCACCGTACATGGTGTCGTCCAAATCCAGAGAATTCTTCAAATATCCAACCTCTGTTAGGAGATGAACCCGCAGATATTGATTTTGACCCCTTTCGAGAATCTCAGCAAGGTTTAGCTGAACTTTTAGCTGCTGAAGTTTCACGTCTTAATGTATCTGAACCTCTGTTCAGTCATCGTGTTTGCTTAACCAATGGATCTTCAGTTGGCATTTCTCACTGTCCAAGTGAACCACAGTCCTCAAGTTTAGACACTAGGCTTCCTCAAGCTAATTTTAGTCTCAATTCTGCGCAAGCTGAAAAACTGCGTTCCTGGTATTCTAATATAGTATCACATAACAGAAGCAACCATGTTGATCCAAACAAGTCATTTAACGTGAGTCCAAATACTTTCTCTAACCTTTATCCTCCTCCGGGTTTTGAAGAGGCTGTACAAGGTCACGAACAGTCTTCGGATGGTCAGTTTTTGACATCTAAAACAGATATATTAAGCTCCAATTACCCAGAATTATCATACTCATGTCCTGAAAGCTTTGGATATAGCAACAACGTACGTAGCACAAATGGATCGTTGCTACAGTCGTGTGCTTTTCCTTGTAGTCTTCCTTTTACAGGCTCTACAGAAAAATTGATGACAAATGATAATTGGATACAAGCTAAAAAGGTATCCGATCACAATGCTATCTATTCAGACACTTTATTTTCGTCCATTCCTGCTGTGCTACCCGATATTAGTAACGCATTAAAACAAAATGATTTACCTCCACACTTATCTAGTCAGTTCATGACAAACATATTTAATGCTGTTTTAAATTCCCAATCAAGTATGAATAATAATGAATCAACTGGAACACATGACAAATCCTCAACAAAATCTTCAGCTTCTATGTTTGACTTCAGTCAGTTTGTTAACCATCTTTATCATCAATCCTCTGGGTTCTTAGATATAAATGCCCATAATCCTAATCAGTGGTCCACTAGGGTCAATATACCATTTGTTTGTACACAAAGTGAGGTTTTAGATGCTTCTATTTATTCAAGTTCATTAGCACCAATGTCCAACACATTAACTTTTGGAAAATATGGATCTAAAATGTGTTCTCTACCTAATAGCAATGACTATCAACATCAGAAAATGGCCTTTAGCACAGTAAGTATCCTTATGTATTTATACTTCTTTTTGTCTTTGAATCAAGTTATTAATTGTTTTACCTAGATGGATTCAAAAATGTCATAACCAAAACAAGTTGTCTGGGATAAGATTAGCTCTTTTAAATCTGTTTAAAAATAATACAAATCGATTATCGTCCAAGATGTATTTAATCATCATCTCTGATATACATACCAAATATATTTTCTTCTGTTTATGAATACGATTTATTGATGAATCATAGCAAGCTAGATTCAGTTTTTGTTTTAGGACGAACCCTTGTTTATAAGTTTGTAACGACACTTAAACACAAAAGTGATTTCTATAGGGTTCAAAGAGTGTATACTCAATGTGGTTGAATTTTTCATTCGAGATTCTCAGTTACTTATTCAGGGGTTAGTTTTTATTTGGTATATTTGTCGTTCTATCAACAGTTTTGTCTTCTCGATGTTTTTTTTTCTACCATAAATTCTTCCGATTTTCCTATTCACGACAAATGCGTACAAAAAAAAACTAGTCAGAGAATATGTAAGCAATAGTTTGAGAGGTTACTGATTTGAACACTGTACTAACTTTAGTAGCCCATTGATTCTGACCGAAATCACATTCATAAAAAAAGTAAATTATACTTTGAAAACTGATTAATCCGATAATGATCGTTCAGATCATTTTATCAATCTATTACTCAAACAGGCGAGCAATTAATGCGATATGCGTTGTATGGCAAAACTGAATAATGATAATTTTATTCAATTAATGTTACTCCAACACTTGATAAAATGAAAGTCAAGCAAAAATAATAAAGTTTGAATGTATAAGAAAGAGGTAGTAATTTTCTTTCTCGTATCAGTCAATGATCACTAGCTTCTACTATTCATTCTTTGTTTACTCATCATGTTTTTTTGGCACACTCCTTAAAATAATCTTTCCTTATCTAATCTTCTTTAATAACTTCAAAATCAAGCGTACTAAGTTCATACATGTCCACATAAAGTGGATAATGGGATATAGCTAGTTTGCATTTCAACCATCTCAATCCATCTGACTGCTGCAAAGCCAAGATAGGATATGGAAAACATTTTTGAGTGTATAATTGTCTAACTGTCTTACAGTTGTCAGTATAAAGTTTCATTACTCAACTCATCCTATCACTTAATTCTGTACTAGTACTGTACTAATCAGGCTTTTACATTCTATCAAACTGACTGGACTATATAGTCAGAAATACAAAAGCAAATGATGCCCAAGGAACTTACTAACGTCATCACGGACTAAGAAAGCGTAAACGATAAAGATAAGAACCACTCACATTTCTCCAAACACCTAGTAATTACTTATTAAGCAGGTCTTCTCTCTTCTAAGTTTTTTTAAATCTTGTATGTCAGTTTTGATTGACAGTATTTTGAAGGTACTTGTTTTCTAAATACTCTTTCTCTATACTTATTATTGCCCTTCAAATATTACTTTTCACTATTCGTTCCTTTAAATTATTTGTGGTGAATATCATGAATTTACTAAATTTAGATTTCTTAATACAAAGTTTATTATTAACAAGATAATTAGAATATCATGTAAATAACCATATCAGAAAATAATATCAGTCTACTGTTGACTACTTTCTCAAAAGACACGGGCCGTACCACAGCCCACCCACAAATCAAGTGACTTGTGTGGCACATATGTACTCGGTGCCTCTTTGTACCAATATTTATGTGTTCAAATAAATAAAACTAAGCAAAGATGATATATCAGTTGGTGAGGTCGTGAACCTTTATTTACTGAAATGGTTGGAACACATGCTATGTATTTTCAACTATCTCCCACATCAACTAACGGTGTTGGCTCACGTAGAAATAGGTTAGAAAAAGCTAAGGACGACCAAATGAAGAGGTGCCATCATTCCATGAAGACATTCACCGTTGGAGTGAACTATGTTGATAGACATGAACTACCTGGTTGAGGTCTGTAGTATAACTATGATCACTGGTTGTAGACATTGAGTGACATGACTTAGAACCGGTCGCAGTAGAACAGGTGCATTTACCCTTTATCATCGTCTAGATCTTCAGTTCTAGTATTATACGTCATACACAGCTTTTCATATTTTCATCTCCAACCATGTTATCAACATCTAGTCTTCTCTTTAAAGTTTCTACTCCTTTACTATTCACCTGATTTATTTCATCTCGCCGTGGTAATGCGAAATGACAACTTGGTCTAAGGCAAATTTGTCCTAGGCTCCATGTTGTATGTGATTGAGTATTTATTGATTATTATTTATTTAAACATGAACATTGGTATAAGAAGGCAACGCATATATATCTGCCACAATCCGTGATTCGATTTGTGTGAGGGCTGGGATACTACTCGGGCGCCCAGCCTGAAGCAGGTAGTTCTCTTAGAAGACCACTCCTCGAGCCTTTGACCTCGAGGTCTAATCCACGAGATAGTGGAGTAATGTTTTGAGGTGCAGTCACATGGTATCCGTTCACCAACAATGGGTTCATACACCATTTGTTCCCTTAGGATCCTGGAGCTCATGTGCACCAATTGTTTGGAATCATGTTTCTCCAACTCCTCTAGGTGGATCCTTTATATCCATTAGCCCGGTTTAAGCGTCGGATATTGGCTTTTCATCCTTTCAATTTGACTATCTATTATCCTTTGTGGAATCATAATTAATGTTCAAATATACTACGTATATACTAAAAGCATCATGGGTTTTCACTGTATATTGATATTTGTCCACGTTTTAAATTTCATGATGAGGTTCATTGCCTGCTTTGGAAGGCTTTTAAGTACTGTTTTCGTCCCTGTCTACAATGTTTGTTTTCGTATTTTTGTTTTAACTAATTTTCGTCTTGAGGTAGTACCATTTAAAATATACCGTAATCGTCCTGTATTTGACAGTTATGTTTTCGCAATATATGACTTTTTCGACATGTAAACACTCAATTCCTTTCCAAGTTGAGTTCACTACACACAGACTTGTGATAAACATATCATTTGTGAATTTACAGAACGAAAGTCAGTAGTTGATGTTTCGTAACTTTAGTCATCAATATGTCATAATATATGGCTATCATAAAGTTCCATTGCAGTTTCTGTGTTTCTATTCATTCAGTAGTTGGTTAATTGAAATTATTTCATTCTAACCCCAGATCACGGCATTCATTTACTTCGTATCTACATATCTACTTACCTATTGATCGTTGCTTCTCTATATTTACACATGGTTCAATGAAATCTGTATCATGTTTGTTATTTTCTCCAGAATACCTACATTGGTAGTAATAAAAAAGGATAAATGAATGTTCACTTAAGTGGTGTAGATTTGTATATTTTAAGAATAAATTTCTTCGCGAATCTGAATATCAACTAGAGAAGCATAAGAAACAATATTACACTAAATAGTTATTTCATTTTAGATTGGAACTATTCGGGAATATGTATCCGTAATTCTCCATCGGGTTTATTACGTCTTGTTACGTGCACAATACTTCCATTCTAATTAGTCGGAATACATAATGACCTACATTTCTGATTTGTAATCATTTTGCAAAATATAGCATAACCCTTCTATAACATCATACCTGTATATGCTATTTTAGCTATAAGGGATAAAGTATTCTGAGAACCAGAAAAACACTTCACACGAAGTGAGACGATAATTTTGTAATGGAAATAGACAGAAAGGTCATACAGACACTAAATAAATGAACAAATATAAGATTTCTTATGTAATGTCATGCAACTAAGAAAGAAAACCAGGAGAGATTTCGGTTAGTTAAGTACATTCATCTTAACTTTATACAATATATACTGTGTTTGGCGATCAGGAAGCTCATCCAATTATCATCATTATTCCCAAACACTACTTACTTACATGGTGTTGCGACTGAATGCAAAAAAATCTTTGAAATCACCTTTGATAGAATCTATAAAAGAGGCAAATTTCTAAAGCATAAAGTAGAAATACTCTTATCAATGCACTAGATATCCGATTTGTAACAGATAGATAAATATTGTAACATAATCAAAATTAACTCAGATTATCATTAGTAACTTTGATTTTCACTGTATACATTGATATTGTCTGTCACATTTCAATATTTTGACATGATTAATATTTTTATTATTATTTTTTCTATTAAGATTAATACATATAAGTAGTATTATCATGATGTAAATCTTATTAGATTAATTGTATATCCATTAATCCACTTTTTATTGAAGCGATTAGCCTTTCAATCTTATTTAAATCATGTTCAAACATTTATATACAATAAAATGATTACATAATACATCTGAAATGATTACATCCTACATTATTTAGTCTTTTTTTATTTGACATTCGGTTGTCCCCACTGGTGTTCTTGTTCAGTGTTTACTATTTATTGAAAGCGCGAATTTTGTTTTTTTGAAAGAACCAACAGCAACATGAATTGTACCTCTTATAGAGATAAATCGTTATACTCCTTTAAAATAATAATAATAAATATCTCTCTATAATTGTTATCGTTATCTGTCGGCAATTCGATTCAGTAACTAGTCAGTCAATCAGTCAGCTACAACGTAGGACCAGGCACATATATGCATCGGTCCAAGTTGCCATACCTCATTAACACAACAAGATGGACACCGGATTCATAGAAGTAGTTAATTCAGTGGTGGTTATACAAAAAAGAAAGTTTGCATTAAGGATATAGTACAGAAAGAAATAATTAGTTCGTAGAAAGAAAGATATGAAGCAATTTTAATCTTTTAGTTTAAGGGAAGATAGAGAGTGTATACACCGACGCCATTGTGATCGATTCTGAGCCATGTCACCAAGAGTCTCCAACCACTGGTTACGATAGTCACGCGGACCCCAACCAAGTAGTCTGCATCTACCAACATAGTTCAGACTAGAAGTTAGTGACTTCAAGCACTGATGCCACGTTTTGGTTTGGCCGCCCCTAACTTTCTTTCAACCATCGCCAACATTAGTCGGCATTGAG